AATTCTCCCCAGTGCAAGTACCTCTCGTTGGGAACGCCCCTCTGGGTATCTTCAGCCTTATCGTTGTCCAGTGCAATTACCTCTCGTTGGGAACGCCCCTCTGGACAAGGCATAAGGGTGACGATAAACTAACCTACAGTCCCCCAAGCAGCATTGACGTGTGGCCCCCTATAAGGACCCCAGTGTACGAAGGGTCATGTATCTTATAGGGTTAGCGTACATGTAAGGTTATATTTGGGAAAATAGATATCTATATTTTTATATAACCTGAGCGAGTTTCTCTCCATCAACCCCCAAAGCTACAAACCCCCCATTTCACCCCCGTAAAGCGGGTAGTGGTGACAATAATATTTTGTTGTTACAAAAAATGACATTTCCACGCGGAGAGCGCAAAAATCAATAAAAATCCAATAATTGAGGTTATTGTTTGAATAACTTTTGATGTACTGCTTTGTCGAAAAGAAATCCCTTTGTGGAACCAACAAAACTTCCGTGCTCGAAGAGTGGTTCGAACTAGGGTTGCCAACCGTCCTGCATTTCGGTGGACGTCCACCATTTGAGGTTCATTGTTTAGCGTCCAGTAACAACCTATTGCAGGACGCCTATTGTACCTAATTTTTAACTTAATGAAGAATTCTGTCAAATTAAGTCGGCTATAACCCTGGTTCTGTTTTGGTTGATAACAAAAATCATATACATTACTTGAAAATGGAATTTATTATATGTATTTGACTTATAATGAATTAAAATACTACTGGATCATTTTGCAACTTGTATTTTCTATATTTGGGTTTTGGATCAAATTTTTAGTTCCTATATATGCACCCTAAGAATTCTTGTTGAACAGTTTTTTTAGTGTATCAGCAGGTATGTTTTTTTTTTTGTCAAATTGTTTATTTATTACGAAGAGCTAATTTTGGTCGTGGCACCATCGAAGACTAGGATTCAGCACCTAAGTGCTTCTACTTCTACTTTACCTGCAGGCACTAAACTTGGGTTGGGTTTCCTTCACACACTGATGAGATCTGATAGATTTAAACGCGTCTGTGGATGGAAAAGAGAAGAAAATTAATCCAAAATGTTCACATTGTTCATTAAAGTTTGTAAATGGTATTCTTCTCTGCAATAATAAAAATGTCCAGAATTTATACCGTATGTCCTGATATTTTAATACCCTCGTCCAGAAAAATTAAAAAACAAAGTTGGCAACCTTAGTTCGAACACCAATTGACAAATTAATGTAGTCCGAGCGCGCTCGATAACCCAACTCGGTGCAAAATTCAGAACTGATTTGTTTAATTGGAACGAGCATATTAAAATGCTTGTTACAAATACCCTCTTCCAACGAGGAAAACTTTAAACTGGAAAAATTCAGATCCCTGTGAATCCAACATACCAACATCTTAAACATACATTATACCTAAGCATTATACATGTTTGTCTTACAATCTAAATTTCTTAAGACTAATGAACAATAATATGCTTACACTAAAACTGAGCCCTCATGAAAACGCATTATCAAAATCTGCACCAGAAGGTTTCAAATCTTTAGTATGAAATTTACCAACAATAACATCCCTCTTATCCTTTAGTTCATAGATAAGTGGAGATATTTTCCTATGTATTTTACATTTAATATGCTTCTTAGCCAACTTACTAGAAAAATAATTTGCAGCGTCAGAAAGAACAAAGTTTCGCTTGTACACAGTATCTCCTACATCAAACTCAATGTGTCTCTTACGCAAGTTATAATACTGTTTATTTCTTTCGTATGATTTCTTAATATTTTGGTCCACAATTTTATAGATATCAGGAAGTTTAGAAAGTTCAGACACCAATTCATTTCTATCTTGAAATTGAAAACTCCATAGTAATCACCATAATTTGGAAGATTGCGGCCAAAGACTAAACGTGCAGGTGAAAAACCTGTCACTTCATGAATTGCGGTGTTAATTGCATTACACATTTTGTGGACATTAACGTCCCAATCACGTTGAGAATCTTTAATATAAGAACGTATTGCTGTTCCAATTACTCGATTACTTCGTTCAACATTATTAGTTTGTGGATGATATCTTGCATTATACCAAATATTAGAAATTTTATAGTCATTCAAGAGAGACTTGAATTCTTTCGATGTAAACTGGCTACCATTGTGCACTATTATTGTCTGAGGGACACCAAAATAATTGAAAATAAATTCTGAAAGATAACTGCATATTTCACGACTGATAGCCTTTTTTAATTTTTTAATAAAAGTATATTCAGTAAACCAATCCACAATTACTAAAAGGTAAAAATAACCAGATTTAGATCTAGGAATGGTCCCTGGATATCAATAGAAATTAGTTGAAATGGAATCGAAACATTCTTTGGTGCACCCATAAGATCAATTCTACCGAACTGAGACACCTTTTGCTCATGGCACACTTGACAATTTGACATATTTCTTAATATCCTGCCTCATCGAAGGCCATCAAGAATGTTCAAAAATTCTGCTGAAAGTTTTCTTAATTCCAAAATGTGCTGAAAAAGGACTATGAGATTCTTTTAAAATTCTTTGCCTTTCTTCCTTGGGTATAACTAATTTCCAATTTCTAGCATTTATATTAATGTCTGAAGGACACTCAAAATGTTTATACAATTTATTATCTTCAATTCGAAAAAGTGGATAATCTTCAGGAGATTCCAATACGTTCTTTATCATTTTATTGTACCATTTGTCCAAAATTTCAACAGTGCAGTGAACAAATCAAAGGTTCCTCAAGAAAAGATCTACTCAAAGCATCCGGAACGACGTTATTCTTTCCAGGCTTATAAATCAACTCGTAATCAAATTGGGAAAGCAAAATCGCCATAAACGACCAATAGGTTTTTCAATTTTTGAAAGCCACAGAAGAGAATGGTGGTCAGTGATAATACGAAACTTCACGCCCTCGATGAATGATCTGAACTTCAACACAGCATGGATGATAGCCAAACATTCCCTCTCAGTACAAGAATAATTCACTTCGGACTTATTTAAGGTACGAGACGAATATGATATAACATGTTCTTCCTCCCCTTCACCTTGAGTTAGAACAGCGCCAACAGCGTAATTGGAAGCGTCCGTTTGGATAGTAAACATTTTTGAAAAATCCGGATTGCGAAGAACAGGGGAATTAAATGTTGTTTGATATTTCGAAAGGCTTCCTCTGCTTCGTCATTCCAAGAAACTGTTTGTCTTTTCTTTTTGCCCTTAATCAAATTATTTATTGGAACAATAAGTTCCGAAAAATTCTTAATGAACCGTCTATACCAAGATGCCATTCCAACAAATCTCTTAACCTGAGTGAAAGTTTTTGGTTGAGGATACTCATGAATTGATTTAACCTTTTCAGGATTCGCATGAAGACCATTCTTGTCCACGATATAACCAAGGAAAACCAAATTTGGTTTGCAGAATTCACATTTTTTGGAATTTATTGTTAAGCCAGCTGACTTAAGTGTCTGATAAACCTTCTCGAGAGTTTTCAGATGATCTGAAAAAGAACTATTGACCACAACCAAATCATCCAGATACACAAAAATATTGTTATCAATAGATGGAGGAAACAATCTATCCATTAAAATTTGCATAGTTTGTCCAGCATTGCACAAACCAAAAGGCATGCGAACGAATTCGAAATGTCCTCGTCCAATAACTGAAAAAGCCGTTTTCGGACAATCGCTTTCTTTTAGCTTAATTTGCCAAAATGCCTGCCTAAGATCTATTGAAGTCAGAAATTGGGCGTCACGAATTTTATCTAGAATTCTAGTTAAAGATGGTAAGGGATATGAATTTTTGACTGTGACTGCATTTAAAGGTCTGCCATCATAACAAAGTCGATACTCTCCTGAATCCTTCTTAACCAAGATAATTGCACAATAAGGGCTATTGGAAGGTCTAACAATTCCAAGTTCTAGCATTTTATCTAACTCACGGTTCAAATGTTCTTGCATATAGGGTGATAACAAAAATGGTCGTTTCCTGAAGGGTTCATTTGTGGTGGTTTGAATTTCATGTTCTAAAAGATCAGTAAATCCTAACTGAGACCAAATCATTGAACTTCAGAACAAGTTCATTCAATTTCTCCTTCTGTTCCAGATCCAAATCACTTTCTGATTGAATGGAAACCTTTTCAAAATTCTCCTTTACGATTATTTCATCAAATGATGAACTTTCCATGATGTTATAAAAATTTAAGTTATAAGAATTGGAATTAAAATTTAAATCTAAATTGAACCTGCTACAAAAATCTATCCCCAAAATCAAATCTTGACATATTGATGGAACTATTAGAAATTCAATATCCAAAACCTCATTATTTAAATTAATCGGCAAAATCACTGTTCCAAGAATAGGTTGGACACTGCCATCAGCTGTTGTGACTACTTTAGAAACAATATCTCTTGAGATTTTATGATTGGAATCTAAAATTTGTGCATATCCATTTTTGCCAAGAACAGATTGCATAGCTCCAGTATCCAAAAGAGCAATAAAACAGGATTGGTCAATTTTGATATTTAAATAAGGTCTGGAGTCGATATTTGACTTTTTCAAAAATAGAGGGAAATTTCTTTAGTTTTATGGAACTGCTGTACTTTATTGAGCCATAAGGACCAATCTTCCCTTGAGAAAAAAGATTCGGATTTTAACTTTGTTTTGTGGCAACTTCTACCGAATTTGAAACTGATCTCCGTTTTTTGACTTGCAATTTGGACATTTTGGTTTTGTTATGTTTTTCTTTCCACAACTAAAACAGAACACATTTCTTTTCAGTTTGCAACTTGGAAATACATGACCCATTTGATCACAATTCCAACACTTAGTAGAAGCCAAATTCAAAACCTCCACATTGGAGTTTTGATTATCAATTTTTAAGGAGTTATCTTGAGCTTCAAAATTATGAAATATGAACTACAAATATTCAACATATCATCCTCAAGATTTAATTCTGAATCAATACTATCAGTATCACCTTGATTAGGTGTCTGTGAATTCAATAAAACATTTGAAATTATTGTAACGCATCTTTGATTATCTTGAGAAAAACTAGTTTCAGGAAAAGAGTTAACATATTCTTGAGCAGAGAAAGGAACATTTTGAGACTGTGCCTCGATATCATTATTTTCGATGTCAATTAAATTTATTTCCTTTACAGTTGAATTTACTTGATTTAGAATTGGAATTTTGACCATTGTTCTTTCCTCAAGCTTGTCAATTAATATCATATTTTGTGAAATAAGTTGTGCTTTCATATCAGCTGATGAATTATCAAAAGGTTTCAAGTAATTAATACGAGAGGATAAATGTAACAATCGAGTTTTCAAACGTATATAATCAGGATGACGATTATCAGAAAAAAATGAATTTACCAAGTTTGACATTAATGAAATTTTGGTCTTACATATCTCCACTTCATCCTTGAAATTCATTGGAACCTCCGGATAGATGATATTTTTCTCCTTTTCACAAGTGAGATGACCTCGAAGTATTGAGACTTTGACTTCTCGATTTGCTAAGTTCTTGGTGCAAATTCCTCGAATCGTGAGTTCCCAATCAGCTTCGTCTTTGTGTAAATATACTGGGTTCATATTGACCTAAGGAAACACAGTATTAGTAAAAATAGTTAACAAAGTTTTACAAAATATTAAGGATAATAGATAACAGATAAAAGTTTTGGAACACTGCCAAATTGCCTCCAACCAAAATTTAAGTAACTAAACCCAGAAAAATGAGCAAATTTATGAAAATGGTCCCACGTTGGGTGCCAATTTGAAATGATTGATCATTATCACTTCTTTGGGTTGCCCTACAGCTGCTCAGACAAAATGAGGCAATGGGCGTGGGTTATCTTTATTTGATGTTATTTTCTATTGGGCGCCAGGCCTATAATAAGGCCAATTAAAATAAAACCAAAAATTTAAAACAATGTAGATAACTTTTTATTTAAATAGAATTTAACAAAGTAGAATTAAACTTCGTTGACCAGTCAGAAACAACTACTCCGAGGGCAAATACCCCTACCGGCGTTGAACTACACTGATTGGTCTGAGCTTTCGTTGGCAATGAAAATTGTTAGATAGATTTTTTTTTCAGGTTGGTCATTACCTGAAAAAAATCTTTCTAACAAAGTAGAATTAATTCATTAATTAATTCAAACAATTAATTGAAAGCAATTTGCAGTTAATTGCAAAATACATAATACTCAGGATTAGCAACAATGCACGATGGAAGCCAAGGTCGACTTACAAGTTACTAACCTATTTTATCACATAAAACGTAAAATACAAAGTTTAAATTCTTACACTCAATGAAGTTGTAAGTGGGAAGGACGAGCAATTAGATTCTACAGTGAATCTACGTCACCTAAATCTAACCTATGGCTCTAATCAAGTTAAATTCTTACATACAATGAAGTTGTAAGTAAGAAGGACGAGCAATTAGATTCTACAGTGAATCTACGTCACCTAAATCTAACCTAAGGCTCTAATCAAGTTAAATTCTTACATACAATGAAGTTGTAAGTAAGAAGGACGAGCAATTAGATTTTACAGTGAATCCATGTCACCTAAATGTAACCTAAGGCTCTAATCAAGTTAAATTCTTACATACAATGAAGTTGTAAGTAAGACTAAAGAAAATATTCACTGACGTAACCTGAACATAACTTTGAGAAACAACAGTTGGTTGTAACGAAACCCTTTAGAATTAACAACAATGCACGATGGAGACCAAGGTCGACTTACAAGTTGTTAACCTACTGAGCGAGTTTCCGGTCGGTACGGCAAGTTAAATTTTGTGTTTAGTGAACCTGATACACAAACAAAATAAGCTTTCTAGAATCTCATCTAGAAAGTTTCAAAACAAGTTTTATTCCTACATACAATGAGGTTGCTACGTGGGACTGGAAATATTGAGAAAAACTTCAAAAAAAATGCAATGCAATTAATAAAATTGGCCTTATTCAATGACCTAGTTATACAATAACTTCCAGTTACGCTCTTGCAGAAACAATTAGGTACTTTAAATAATAAAATAATGAAAATGATAAAAAACTGGAAGTTTTTCTACAATGCAATCAATTAACGATTGGCCTTGTTCAATAACCTAGCTATAATATAACATCCAGTTACGCCCTTGTAAAACATTTACTTCAAATAATAAAATAATGAAAATAATAAAAAAACTCGAAATTTGCCTACAATGCAATCAATTAACGATTGTCTTTGTTCAATAACCTAGCTATAATATAAAGTCCAGTTACGCCCTTGTAAAACATTTAGTTCAAATAATAAAATAATGAAAATATTAAAGAAAACTCGAAGTTGCCTACAATGCAATCATTATCGATTGGCTTTGTTCAATAACCTAGCTATAATATAACGTCCAGTTACGCCCTTGTAAAACGTTCACTTCAAATAATAAACTAATGAAAATAATAAAGAAAACTCGAAGTTTGCCTACATTGCAATCAATTAACGATTGGCCTTGTTCAATAACCTAGCTATACTATAACGTCCAGTTACGCCCTCGTAAAACATTTACTTCCAATAATAAAATAATGAAAATGATAATAATAAAGAAAACTCGAAGTTGCCTACAATGCAATCATTATCGATTGGCTTTGTTCAATAACCTAGCTATAATATAACTTCCAGTTAAGCCCTTGTAAAACATTTAGTTCAAATAATAAAATAATGAAAATAATAAAGAAAACTCGAAGTTGCCTACAATGCAATAATTATCGATTGGCTTTGTTCAATAACCTAGCTATAATATAACTTCCAGTTACGCCCTTGTAAAACATTTACTTCAAATAAAAAATAATGAAAATGATAAAAAAAAGTCGAAGTTTGCCTTGTAATGCATTAATTATTAATTAGCTCTTACAAAGCAAATACTTCAAAAAAAAATCAAATTAATGAAAATGATATAAAACTTGAAGTTTGTCTCGCAATGTAATCAATGATTAATTGGCTTCGTTCAATAGCCTAGTTATATAATAACTTCTAGTTACACTCTTGCGAAAACAATTACTTCAAAAAAAAAAAAAAATAACAAAGAAATGAAAATAAGAGAAAAAAAAAACTTGAAGTTTTCCCAAAGTTAGCTCAAAGTCAGTCAGTGAATTAAAAAAATTATGAATATCCAATAATTACTGTCAAACCAACATTGGACTATATGATTATACCAAACAGACAGATATAGTTATAAATTAGGTACATAAAATAAGCTATAGTTATGGTACAAAAATGCTCGATAATAAATGGTTGTTGGTTTCATCAGGGAATCAATTACGAGGAGTTAAAAGTTCAAGATGTAATTAAGAAAAGTTACTTATCTTGTGCAGTAAATCTTGAAGGTCCTGGCTTGACTCGTAAGGGTTTGCCTGTGGAACATCCGCGAAGTTTCCCTCACAATAACTCGTCAGGAACTTCTAAACGCCGCACAGCAAAATGCGGTGTCCACGAAAACTCCCCAGAAATTTTCTTAAAGCCGCCACTGATATTGGTGACGAAGTCGGCCACCAGCCAAAACAAACGTAGACTCGTCATCAAAAGGACTGCTTTCACAGAAAGCGAACCAGGGCTGCGTTCAGGAATGTCTATAGCCAAGCCAAAATTGGCATTTTGCGTTCGAGTTCGGCTCCAACCTACGTGGTTCGGCATTACAGGTGGAGGGGGAAAAGTAGGTTTTGGCATTAGCATTGCCGTCCTTGAACGTACCCCAGGGCTTCTTGATTCTTGGCAATAAGTAGATACTTTTAGCGGCTCAAGCTCGTCGATTCATCCAATTATTGGCATGGAGGAAATGAAATTTAAACTGTTTTTTTTTACTATGATAAAATCTGACTAATAGCCAAAATTTAACTGGAAATAAGCTTCAACCAGTGGATAAAACATTGAACTCGAAGTGGCAAAGGTGAAATGAAGGTCATTAATAGTCGTTTAAAGTGGTTGAAAGTACTTTAAAGGTAGTTTAAAAGTAGTTTACAAGTTATTTAAAAAAGCCTGAAACAAAGGATTTTGCTAGAAAATGGCCGCGTGCCTTAAATGAATATTAATTTACCTGATGGTCTGGCTTTTCGCGGACGATTGTTTCCACCAAAAATAAAACTTATTTTTTCAATCCAGCATTGCTGTGAAATCTAAATGAGAAATTTTGAAATTTTATTTTCACTTTGTGGCTTAAATCGCCTATGTATAGGTCACTTCACTTCTCTTCAAGTTCTGGCAGCCGAAAGGGAACGACCTATTCCAGTTTTTCCCTTAAATAATATTTTGATGTTATAAAAAATGACATTTCCACGCGGAGAGCGCAAAAATCAATAAAAATCCAATAATTGAGGTTATTGTGTGAATAAATTTTGATGTACTGCTTTGTCAAAAAGAAATCCCTTTGTGGAACCAACAAAACTACTTCCGTGCTCGAAGAGTGGTTCGAACACCAATTGACAAATGTAGTCCGAGCGCGCTCGATAACCCTACTCGGTGCAAAATTCAGAACTGATTTGTTTAATTGGAACGAGCATATTAAAATGCTTGATACACCTTATATTTTATATGTTTTATTGAGCATTGCCCGATTGGTATGTCTCATTTCCAGGTTTAGTTGGCTGCTCGGTTAAGCCTGTGAGTTGTCAGAGCAGAAGACTCTACGTAGTCGTTCAATATTGTATGTTTTTTAATTGAGCATTCCCTAATAAATGGAATGACTTCTTTCTATGTTCAGTTTGCTGTCCGGTTGAACATATGAGTTTTAAGGGCAGATAGACCAGTAAAGTGTCACAGATTAATAAAATGATCGATCATTGTTATTATTTTACAGAATAATATTTAATTTGGGGTGATACTGGGTTGGAATCGCATTATTCTTACATTTATGATTTTCATTGAATTAACATACTAGTTTTTATAATTTTTCATTAAACTTTCATTAAACATAATTAAGTGGAGAGCGTTGCTGTATTATTTCTTTTTTATACTTAATATTTCAGATTAATTTTGAGGTCTATTTCGAAGTTTGAGACCTTATGAACAAAAACTTCGTGGCGCCCTTAGTAAACACCCCTTACACACGACCATAAATGCTTTCCGATGCACAGCTGCCGTAAGCAATAACACCTTTTTAATCCAAAGTAATTAAAAACGTTACAGTTTATCGAATAGGATGGGACGAATGTGATCTAAAATATATTGGCCGAACTTCCAGAAACTTGAAGGCAGGCTTACGTCACATAAAAGTGACTGTAGGAGAGAAGTCCAATCAAGTGCTCTCTCGGAGCACACAACGGAGACACACCACCAACCAAGCTTTGTGGACGCTGAGAATCCAACCACTGAAAACAATTATTATAAAAGCTTTTTTTTAGAGATGGTCCATATTCGCAATGAGCCCAATGCAATGAACAGAAGGACAGACATACAAAATCTCAGCAACATCTATTCATATCTCCTAAAGTTACACAGAGATACTGTCTCCCCATCCAATTAATCATTTAATTTCCTAGCTAAAGAACCAAGACACATAACTAAGGGTGAATTTCAATAACGTGTTGTTTGTACTGTTCATGACAAGTTGATGTTTCCAT